TGGGATCCCCTTCTTTTCTACCCGCCAGTGGGTCACCTTTCTCCGTCCGCCCGGCAGGTCTTCCTGGAGGTCCTCCCTCGGTATTTGGGGGCCAGTTTGGAGCCGGCGGGCGAGGACTCCTGGGACACCCCCCGACCTCGGAGGCGCAGCTCCTTCAAGATCATGCTGAAGGCCGAGGAGTACATCCTGAAGAAGCCCCGCAGCGAGCTCCTCTTTGAGCGCCAGGGGCCACGGCACGGACTCCAGCGTGGCCCCGGATGCAACGCCGCTTGTAAGGGCCGGCTGATGGCGGGCAGCTGGGGCCGGGCTCCTCTTCCGCCCAGAGTTTCTCGTCCATGAGTACTGCCCCGTCCGTCTTCCCTGCCCAAGGGCCTCCGTGGCTCGTATTTACGTTGCTATTTTATATTCTTTCTGCTGCCAACAGTGTCCAGGAGCTGGCGGGGTCCTTCTAACCCTATATCTGTTTCTTTTAGAGGACAGAGATTCCCATACTTTGATCTTCCAGATGTTTTGGACTTCAGCTCCCAGAAGCCCCAGACAGTTTGGCCAACAGTCAACCATTCTGGAAGCTGCAGTCCAAAACATCCAGAGGTCCAAAGTTTGGGAACCAATGTTTTAGAAGATATTTCTGTTTTAATTTATTGGTAAGGCATTTTCCAGAATAGAATCAGAATCATAGACTCACAGAGTTGGAAGAGACCCAAGGGCCACCCTGTCCACCGGCTCCCATTCTGCCATTTCGCTTCCATTTAAAGACCTCCAAAGAAGGAGAATCGGAAGGCCGTTGCCAGAGGAGCCTACCTGGCTCTAACATAAGAAATAATAAGGGCTGAGTTTGCCTGGGCAAGAGTCTCACAGAGAAGCAAATGGTGGGAAGGGGCGATGGGACCCCCAGTTCCCCACCGGAGGGGCCTGGGTCTGTCCCTGCACATTAAGGACTTCCGTGCCCTAAGTTTTCTCCCATTCCTTTCTCCCCGCAGATGAGCTAGACATTGGGATGACCAACACCTTGTACAAGAACCTGGCCACCTTGGCCCCGGAGATCAAGGGGTGCGTGGACGCCTGCAACTTCATTGCTGAGAGCACCCGGGAGCAAAGTGCCAACGGGGCGGTAAGGCGGCTCTTGGCCCCCGGAGCCTTTGTGGGGCAGATCCTGGCTCTCCCCAGACCTTTGCCCAAAGCTCATGCAGGAACGTCCCCCGTTTTCTCACAGAACACCCCTACTGTCAATGCCTCCTTGCCCCAAGAAACCCC